AAATGTTTGTGATTTTGTATTTCGTAATTTAGATTTTCATGATCCATTGTTTCAAATTTAACAGATAAAAAGTGTCATAATGAGAAATGTCATCAAAGTTGACCATTTCAGGAATCAAACTAACAAGCTGTCGAAAAAAAAGTAATTGAATATTCGATTGAATATCAATTGAATATCGAAAAAAAACCATTTTAAATCTACATAGCTGGAGATGCTTAACGTCAAATATCAGACTTATAGTGGTCATTTTATATGATAGATGGGGAGATGAAAGTATAGAATTGATAGTTCTGTTGGAGTACGGTAGTGTAAAAATTGTATATTGGGAGCAGAAAGCGAGCAAAGGTCAATTTTGAGGAATGTACGAATCGGGTTGATCATATTGTCATTGGTCGAAAGGCACAGTAGCAGCACCTCCCCCTACTCATGTTTCCTTGAGCTCGTGAAGTTGACAATGTAGGGGTAGAGGCGACAATAGCTTCAATTTCCAAACCTATCAACTAGATGCTTATGTCGGATGGCAACTTGAGTGTGAAACAATCGATAGAACTGTTTCCGCACATCGAAGATACATAAGCAAATCGGCGATCCCCCAACGGAGGAAGGAGATGATCAACCCGATTCGTACCTTCCTCAAAATTGACCTTTGGCCGCTTTCTATCCTCTATAAGACGTTTGCATGCTATGATTTATTGTAAGGTACCGTATTTTATTATGTATGTTTTATTGTAAAATATCGCTATATTGACAAATTTGGTAAGAGTTTCAGTACAAATTTGAATGACAATAAACAATTATGTACAGTTTCATGCAAACTGGGACTGTTTGAACTGAAAATGCTCAAATTTTCCTTATAGTTTCTTTCGAATACTTCTTAAATGCCTTTGAAATAAATTTAAGAATACACACTTAATTGGTTTCAGAGTTTCCATTGAATTGTTTTTAGAGATCCCTTTGAATCCATCTCAGTATTGCAATTTTGCGTCAAATTCTCCAAATTTCCATGGAATTTTTGATAGAACTCTCATGTAGATTCTTTAGAACTCCTTTGGAATTCTCTTTGGAATTAAACTGTGAATGCTCTCAACTTTTTTTTTTGTATCCTGGACGAGATCACTGGCTGACCTTAACTTACGTTGGCTTTTTGTAGCTGAGGAGAACATTAATTACAGTCTATCGTGACGAAAAGTGATTAACCCACAATCAAAACAAGTGGGAATGGATCCTTCGTTATCGATCGTTGATTCATCTATTGTGAACTGTAGCCCATGATATCGTGAAGATATCTGAACTTTTGAAACATTTTACTTTTTGTGGCATAATTTTTTTAAGATGAACATAGTGGGATGCAATTATTCACGGAAATATGTATCTTAATCTAATTAGCCACAACATTTTTGTTCGGGCCTCCTTTAGCTCAGTCGGTAAAGGCGCAGCTACAAAGCAAGATCATGCTAGAGCTGGTTGGGCTCGATTCCCGGTCCGGTATAGGAATTTTTCGGGTTGGAAAATTTCTCGACTTCCCTGGGCAATAGAGTATGATTGTACTTGCCACACAATTATACTAATGCAAAAATGGTACAGGTATCGAAAGCTCTCAATTAATAACTGTGAAAATGCATCTAGAACATCTAAATGCGATCTAAATGCGATAAGCATTAAGCTTGAAATGCGATAAAGAAGGCTTATTATTTGATATGAAGTTTACTCCATCAGTCAGTGTTGCAATTCAATGCAGTGTTTGTTATCAACATAAAATTGAAGCATATAAAATTAACTACTCACTTAGACAACTCCATATCAATTTGGGAGCTGTGATACTGACATATATGAGCGTAAATTTTGACTTAAAATTGAGCACGAAATTCAGCTTTTCGGCAAGTAACGAACTTTTCAGTATCGGAGCACTTAATTTTACATGAAATATTTGTTCACGACTTATCCATTATGTCAAATTTGTGGCCCCTGCACGTGCAAAATCAGTTATTTCTAAGTGTGTACACTAGGGTGAGTCAAGTTTGTATGGTGGCTCACAAACTCCTGTTCCCCACTGCTCTTCCGATGTGTATTGAGGTCCCCAACAACGGTTAGAATTTTAAATTGTTTATGGGAAAATTTATGGGAAACGCATACCAAAAATTCAAATATTGCACAAATATCACCAAATGTCGGAAATAGATTGAAGATATTATGCATAACATCTTAGCCGAAGATTGCAAATCGCTTAGACTCCAGGGAAAAAAGGTTATTGTTATATTAATTTAGACCTATTGCACTGCACCCAAGTAACATTGCCGGGTTTATCGAGTCTAAATCATGGTCTTCATAACCCTCATAAAACCAAAATTGTTACTTGGGTGATTAACTTCAGGCGTCTATATGAGCTTATAGCTACATGAGGAACACTTGATCTAAAGTGAAAGATTAGTAACTTTTTGTACAAAGATCAAATCGGTTTGCAGTCTTGGACTCAATCTAAAACCGAAATTTCATGAAATTTGAGAGGATTTTTGGTAAGCAAATGAATATAATCGTTTAAATTCAAATTTAATTTTTTTCCGCAAATCGAGATTTCAACCAAATTTGTTCAAATGTTGAATACATGGTTGTTGGGGACTTCAATATGCATTCAAGAGCAGGGGATTGTAAAGTTGACCCAGTGTTGTGTAGACAGATTAAAACATTTTGTAATTTTCAACTACAATCTGGCGCAGGTTTTTGCATATCAAATTATTCGTTTATCGATCAGTAATCCAATGAATAAAAACTGAAATTGTCACGTTCATGTTAATTAATTTCGTAGTTCGTTAAAAATTAAATTCATTTCAATTAACTTTTTCCCTGATATGTAAAACCACAGATGCATGTAAAATTCATTGCAAGTGAATGGATTATTAAATATCTGCACGTAAAATTAAAGTTGTATTGCTGTATGTTTCAACTTAGTCCAGAAAATACATCAATGTGCCAATTGTAAATTTTACGGAATGTTTGCTGTGTAGGTAAAAAATAACTGATTTAATCAAATCATCGAAATTCAGCCACCCGTCTTTTTGTACTCGTTGTATGAACAAATCTCCTAGCGAACCGCAGTTCCGTATGCCACCGCCAGGAAAGCACGGTATTTTTAAAGAAGCGAAACATGAGCTAATAAAATGTATAATTAAACCTTTTTAAGACCACTCATGGAGGCCAGAATAGAGTGAAAAGCTAAAGTCCAGAAGTAGGTTCAATTTTAACGACTGTGTGCACGTGTGGCTTGACTTTTGTGATTTTCTTCCAACGGACCGCGCCATGCTCATGACTATTTGGCAAATTTAACGAGCTATGAAGCAAAATTGGATTATGTTGGTGTACTTTGCGAAGAACGCTTAATATACCTGCAATTTAAAAAAAAAACAGCGTGCTATATTCACGTTGTAGTGGATTAACGGAACCTGTCCGTACGAATCGCTGTGGGATACATCATCATCAACACCATCTTTGTAGATACGAAAAAAAGGTTGGAATTGAAAGATGTTGCTTTGCACATTAACCGGAATCAACACTTTACTCTCAGGGCAGAACTAATTCAAAATAGAACGACTTACAAGCTCCAGAAGGTGTATGAATAGTACCAATTGGCATTAACGATTTTGATTCGATGAGTTTATCGAGGTGGAATTTGCCGTTGTTGATTTTTTGTTTCTTACAAATATTTATTAATCTTCCACTTATTTCTATTGTGTCGTTAATATGATAAACGTCATGTTGAACACAAGTATTTATAAAACGAATTTTCCTGATTAAGTGGATATTAAAGTTTATTTTAGCTTGCATTTTCCTTTCGGAAACGCTTACATAGATACGATTCTCTAACCGTGCATTGTGAATGGATCAACCTCGACTCATTTTACGATTTCAATTTCAAATGATGGCGGTGATGAGTGATTCGTCATGGATCAACCATGGTTCCAGTCGTCACCATAATGTATCACGGCAGCCATCAAGCGCTACACCCACAGAGAGGGCAAGAGAGCGCAGCCGCAAAAAAAAAAGCTGATCTGATCTGATGTGTGGGGCTTCATTATAATTGATTTCGAGCGTGCTCACTCGTGGTTCCATTCTGACGATGGCTCTAGCCAGATAAATGCGTGAAATGAATATGTTGATGATGGCGCAGTGCGCTTTTGCTCCGATTGCTCCGATGATTGTTGGGATGAGTGGTCTGTAGCGGTCGACTTTCCTCAACGGCGAGCGGGCCATGATTGATGCTCATCATCATATTTAATCTTTTGACGTAGCTGGAGGCTGTGCGCATTCGAGCGTATGAATGAGAGCAATGAATGAAAACTGAAAAACAGGTGTAGCTCTGTCCATTGCTACCGTTTGTGTCTGGGCTTTGTGGGAGGTAAGGCACTCGAAATCTGGCGATGAGAAAATTGACATTTTCAAAACGACTGCGGCATCTCCTTTTAGCAGGACGAAGGGTTATCAACAGAGTGTTCAGTTACAGTTATTTGCAGGGAGAAATTAAGTGATCTGTGCGAGCTGTTATTTTCTCATGAACCGCATGGCTTTTGTAAAAACAGTGTCATTGATCCCTCGGTTGAACTGTGCAACTTCAATACGGGTTGCTATTTAAAGTGACACAACATAGAGTCGGCGCAATTTGTACAAGGTTTAAGTACGGATTATCGTGCAAGCAGTAAATGTGTAAAATTATATTTAAGTGCACCGGTTTCTTTCTTCATATGCTTAACAACAAAATGACGAAATGTGTAACATTGTTACTGTCAAGCAGGCTGATATGATAAACATGTTCAAGGGGTTGGAGTCCCTGGACTACTTCCGAAGCTCTTAAATTAACATTGTGCAGTTTATAGTTATCCCGCTATAAAAAGTCCAGCTTTCTAACACTTTTGTACACTGCAATTTTATAGACCAGCGTTACTGGTTCAATATAAAAATCTATGATCATTTATGGTCATCAGCAGTGGAGTGGACATAGAACAACTCACCTCTTACGTCGTCGACGCAGATACCCAGATCTTCCCGATAAGTGGCCAGATGGGAAAGACACTGGCACTTACATTCGGATTCCAAGTCGGACAACATGTCTGTGGACAGTACAACATTAACATGTAAGATCAGAAGAGTTACCAAATACGTGTATCAAACTTACCTATTTCTTTGACGCTGTTCTGCACATTGTGTATAGGGCCTTTTGATAGATTTGCCGTTCCACTTGATAATCCAATGCACGTATCTGTATCACATTTATCATTTTCTGAAACAATTAGATTAGAAAACAGAAAATTAGAACTACACAGAGTTATTGTTGAAGATTATTATCAATGGAATTACTAAACATTTCACCATTATATAGATTAAATCCGAATTTTTATTGTTCTTGTCATATTATTTTCGCCATGGCTCTGGTTGATATGTTTTTAATATATGTGAAAATTCACAGATTATGAAATTGTTTCAAATCAGACGCTTGTTTTGACGGGGTTACGGGGTCTCGCAAAAGGTTCACAGTTTTTATTAAGAATGTTGATGAATTACTGTGAGAATTTCCTTAGATATTCGACTGAAGTTATACATTAGAAGTTGTGTTTCGGCTTAGCAGTCGTGGAGAAATAGCTGATTACTATATTATTTACTGATTTTACTGATATCATTATTTTCAACTATCACAACGTACACATTGGGTCCTATCCGTGCGCGATCACTGTTTTATTTTTTCGATCCAGGGGTTAGGATCCTCATAATGGCCTATAGTTTATTTATAATTATTTTACATTTAATTTACTAATTCAATAAATGATCTTCAAGAATGCTAAGCTGAAACACAACTTCCAATACTATGACATGAGTAGAAGGGGAAAACATGCCAAAAAGCAATTTTTCCTCAGTTTTGCGGGGGCGTTTATATACTATTCCCTTGTATCGCCCTAACATTGTCAACAAATTGCTGTCAAAACTGAATATGTGGTTGTCATGGCAATAGTCATCAAGCCTGACTCTGTTGTTGTTTGAAGCAATGGATATTGTTGTTTGTTTATGGTTGTTTTTATTGTGTTGAGCAAAAATGATGTACAATTAGCAGCTTATAGAAACTCTGAATAAAATCCATATTAAAATAGAAAAAAATAGTTAACATTCCTGGCATCATTGGTCAACTCCGTCAAACACTACACACAACTTTCCGAAGGGATTCTTCAAAAATCATTAAGAAGAGTGAGAAGCTCGATTGTCATGACTTTGCAGCAGATGTCGCTAACAAATAGAAACTACAGCTTTTTTTGTGTATACAAAATGTTGTGAGATATCATTCATGCTTGTCGCACAACATAAAAATTCATGCATTAGGAGACAGGCCTGGTTTAGTGGTTAGCATCCATGCCTATCACGCAAAAGTTTACGAGTTCAAATCTCATCTCCGAAGTCACGAATGACCTAAAATGTGTTAAAGAGTTTGGCACGAAAACGTGAGGACATTTGCCAGATGTGTACCGGAATCCATTGACTATATTTTGGCAGGAATTTGTGCCAAACTCCCGGTACAGTCCCGATCTTGTTCTGGAAAATAGACCGTTTCAAGCTATACTGAGACCGATAGAATAAATGCATCTCCTTAAATATGAGACCTTAAGACCAATTTGGAAAGTATATGTCACCACTTGAATCATTAAAAACAGTTCGACTGACTTCAGTAAAGTTGAAATCTGTGTCTGGTACTTTTTGCATTAAAACTTCGTTCAACTTTGAGCGATGAGTTTGTATGTTTTGAATGAAATTTTTTTAAAAAAGATTTAGAATGTTAATTTTCTAAATTGAAATAAAGGTATTAATTTATTAAACTATTTTTAATTCTTCAAATAAATAAAAAAAAAATCTTCTGCCTCTCTGGCTTTTTACGTTTTATGCGAGCTTTGACGGCTCTCAACTTAATGTTCTTGATGCACTTTCACAGTTATCAATTGTGAGCCGGTATTATAGAAACTACCCCTACATTCAGCATATCATCATCGTCACTGAGGTGGAAAAGGTAGTAGTTACAACTCGATGATAAGTGGTGTGATGTAATGTGAAGGGATTGGTGGCCTAATGGTGACCATTTTTGATTACTGAGCAGAGGTTCGTGGATTGAGCCCAGGCTTCTTCATATAAGAAGGTCGTAACCACCGTATCGCATTCTTTACTAACATGAGCACAATCTTTCAATTCAGTGCAACGTTCACAAAAACGAGCCCTGCTCTACTGTCCCTGATTATATAGTCAACGTAACCACCAACAGCATCACTTATGGAAAAACACGTTTTTTTTTTGTTTTCAGCCAAACAAGAATATCTTTTAACAATGTCAATCAAATCATCTGTCCATTTGATAAAGATTAACGGTTAGAAGTGGGCCGAGCAGACTTTATGATTTGTTACATGTTAATTTTATCTGAAATACGTATACCTACATCAGCTAATGCAAACAAACAGGTGTTTTGCTGAAGGTTTCAGTTTCAGTAGTTGTGTAAAGGAAATAAATATAGAAGAATTTAAATGCCCGGAAGAAGTGCCCTGAATTTGATGCTGTTTAAATGTAATTTAGTCAAAATGAAGGTATTTTATGTACCTTCATAAAAAAAATTGCAAAATTACTCCGACGGCCTTTGGATGAACTTGCTGTCTCTTTTTGGAATTCCTGCCATCATCCACCACTGGAATGGTTAACCTCAGCGGCATTTTTTTTCCAACATCGAGCCATCTGTGCTGCGTCTTGAGTCGCCTGTTCAGTTTTCTTTATCTTCCGCTTGATAATTGCCCAATACTTTTCGACTAGGCGGAATTGCGGGCAGTTGGGTGGATTGATATCCTTGTCGACGAAACCACCTTATTGTCGCGGTTTCACAGTGATTGCCTGCCAAATCAAACCAGAACTTCACTGGACCTTTGTGAGCCTTGGTGAAAGGCAGTTTACATTTCTTCAGGCATTCTTGTTTATACAGCTTCGAGTTCATTGTTTTGTTGGCAATGAAAAGTTTGGTTTTGAGTCAGCAGCCTCAAATTCCTTGCCAGATCATTAGTTTTCGGGTGAATTTATCGGCGAAAACAAACTTAAATGTGCTGGGAACATCACCCCGTGCTGTGGCCAGATAAAACTCTTGTCCGGGAATCTGCCTTAAATCGGTGATTTTCAACTTTTTCGTGATATTTCGAATTAACCACGTCGGGTCTTCGACGTGGGTGTGCACTGAAGGATCAATTTTCTTTTTTCGTCTTCCGTCTAGTATGACTTTTCTAATACTGCGCGTATTGAGATGAAACTTTCACTACTGAAACACGTGTACTTTCAAAGCAAATAGCTGTCAAAACATTCCAAACTACTAGAGGCACGGATATAGAACAAATAAAGTGTTAGTATTCTATGTGGACCAGACTTTAGTTCCGACTCGGAAGGTGAAAATGATCCTGATTTGCCAATTCTAATCGACATGCAACTGAAGCCAGATGCAACTGCCGCACCAAGGCGGAGGCCGATACCACCAACAAATCGAACAGAGTAACAGAGGGATTTCCGAACATTTTAATTTATTTTCAAAGTGTCAACTTTAGGTCGAAATTCATTATATGGAATACATCTCTTGCACTCTTCCTCTTTCTTCTCGCGAGGAAGCATTTAAAAAATAAATTAGAAAAAAATTATGAGGGAAAACTTGTGCGTCTGATATCGTATAAATTCAAGAAATTTAATATAAATTCGAGGAACTGTGTAAAGCTTCCAAGAAATTCCGAGTGTTTTGTAAAACTTTGTATAATTGGAAACATTCTTCAAGTTCTATCCAACAAACCATGAAAGCTGAAAAAGAGCTTGTTCATGCAAAATTTAGCTTCTTCCGCATTTTTTTTAGCTTATTCAGTTTTTAATCATTTCAAATTGTTTGTTGGGTATTAGCTTCAGGGCAGTTCGTTAAAGTTTAATGGACTTTTAATAAACCTGAAATATCCGTAGAACTTCAGGGAACTTACCACAAAACCAACGAAATCCAAAAATGATCAGAGATCTTTCTAGAAAAACAGCGGGCTTAATATGAATTCTGAGAGGTTTGTAGAAGTTAACCAACAAGGAAATTCGTAGAAGGTCAGCAAAACTTAAGTAATGATAAGGAACTTTGAAGTTATTATTCCACCCCCAAGAATTTTATGATAGCAATTTTCACCTCCGCCATCTGCTGAGAACGGTGCTGAATATATATGCTATATATTAATATAGAGGTGACCTGCGGAACCTTAGCATACTACGAGGATGGTGACATGTTGCCATGGATTGAGTAGAGTGGAGACAACTTCTTCGGATAGCAGGGGACATCAAGGCTTCAGCCTGATTGAGATAGAGAGCATATAGAGGTAAGGTCAGGTTTACTTTATTAAGGAGACTTACAGTCCGAGTCTGGTTCATCTATGGATGCTAATATATAGCTGATGTAATGTTAAAATGACAAACTTGAGGGCATTTATAGTACTAGTAGTGCTAATGTTTACATAGGGCTGGCGTAGAAAACGTGGAAAAAATAACTCCCGTTCTCGGGCGAAATCTATTGGGAATCTCTAAAATTTCTGTTGGGATTATACTTTCTTAGTTATTTTCTTAGGATTATTTTTAATCTAGGTCTTAATGAGATTTTACAGTTTTTTGTTATTTTCTAGATTTGCTCATTTATTCTCTAGAAAAATCTGGGCATTTTCTTCTTAAGGTACTGCGGAAATTAAAATGTTAAAATTTTTCATAATTTCTCTGTGGATTTCTGGATTGTGGATATAAAATGTTTTTTTTTCATTTCCTAGTGCAATTCAGTGGAATTCATTGTAATGTTTTCATTTTATCCTGTTCAGATTTTATAGAATTTTCATTTGGGATTCTTTTGAATCTTCCTTGGAGTTATTTTAAGTAGAATACCACTTGGAATACTTTAGAACTCCATTTGATGCTCTACAGAATCTCACTTGAGGTTCATGATTATACTTCTTGGGATTCTGTAGAATTCCTCTTTGATTCGAAATGGTGCTGGTGATTTACGTGGATAAGCCATTTATTAGTGAAAAATCTGCATGAAAACCATTGCCGTTCGATCTTATGCCCACGTTTATCAAAAAATGTCACTTATTTTCCAACAATCTTCAAATTGAAACCTTAAATACATGTTCTGTAAGCACAGTTCAGTTAATCATTGTAGTTAATGAGTTACATACAGTGCTATGATTATACGGATTTTAGTGTATATTTAGCATA